CGATAACAGCACAGTGACTTCAGGTTAGGTGATGAGCTTCGTGGCTGCAGTGTGGATCCCATGTTGGAGATTAAACTTCGTCGAAATCATGTATCTTCTGCTCAATTGTACGATAAAGCTATTGAAAATCTCAAATTAGCCTATAAAAATCATCCAATTTCTGGTGAAATCAAAGAAATCTTAGAACAAGCACGCAAAGAATATGAAGAGATAAAAGAGCTATCTTGGTCCGAAGAGGAACGTTCACCAAATAAAGAGTCTGACGCCTTTATTAAGAACATTTTTTTTAAGAAAAATCATGTTCCAGAAAAAAATATACCTCTGGGTGAAGATGATGAGCTCATCAATGCTCAACAGTTGGCTTATGAGCTATGCCGAGAAGATATATCATATGAGCAAAAGGAAGAGTTATGTACATTAGCACAAAATATTATCAATAGATTTGCTGAAATCAAACCTACGAATTCAAAATTAGTGCACGAAGTAATGATATTATCACATTTGCCAGATTCAGAAAAAGAACTTTATAGAAATTTAATAGAGACCTTTATTAATAAAATTAATGAAGCAATTTTGTTGCATCCGCCATTATTGAAAGGTTTATCTCATATTATCCATCAGGCAAATCCAAAACACCTAAAACCAAATGATTTGGTTTGCATTTTAACCATATTAAATGAAAAAATTAAAAATCTTCATTCCCAAGATATGGATCTGCAAATTGAAATGACGAGAACATTGGGGCAGCTATTTGATGCAATGGCTGATTGTGAAGTACAGGACCTTGATTATGAAAAATCATACAAACCCTTATATGATATCCTCAGAGAATTAAATAGCGATAATAATCAAGAACTAGTTTATCACGCAAAGTATGCCTGTCAAGCTTTAATTTGTGTACCAAATAATGAAAGCCCATGGAAGGCATTTCTGCGGCGAAGTAACAAAACCCTTCAAGTTATAACAAATTTGACAGGTGCTGTTAAGAATATAAACCCGGGAAAATTAGCAGAGGCTATCAAAGATCTTAGTAAAAGACTTGAAAGTATTATAAATAATGCAGTAGATTTGGTTAAAGAGATTCAATCAGTTAAAGAGGGAGTTAGTGATATAATACAGAACTTCAGTTTGGAGGTACATCGCAAATGGTATTGGGCATTACGATTTACTGATTTATTTATTCAAAGTCATAAGTTTGCAAGCTTGGAGAAGTTTGTTTATAAAATTTCATGTAACCAAGATGACGAATTTTTATGGGGTTTGTGTATATGACTTGAACGATTGGCAGCAGATTCTGAACTGGATACTGATATTCGCAAAGGTGCTAGAGACCTTTTAAATAATATTTGTCAAAACAAAGACTTTTGGGGAGAACATCCGAAACTAAATGAATAGATCTTGGAGCATATAGAATTATTAACTTCATCAAAATACATACAAAATTCTGCTTTATCATTTCCAACTGCCCTATTAAAAGATGTTCTGTTTAGGCAGGCACTAAATGAATCTGTACGACCTACTTAGCAGAATGACTTGAAAAAAAGCAGAAGAGAATTGTCAGCTCAATTAAATGGATTAAAAGAACAATTCTTTTCAGATGTAGATGGATTAAAAGAACAATTCTTTTCAGATGTAGATGATGAATTTGAAGAAGCTTTGGAACTGTATGTCAAACCACAGGGAAATTGGAAGTGTCGATTATAAAGTCATCAGATTCTGTAAAAGAAAAAGAAATGGTTTCTCAATACAGAGAGGGTGATGTAGAAGAAGTGGTCTATGGGTTTTTAAAATCAAAGGATAAATTGACTTCAGATGACAAAGAAGCTTTGGAGGTAGCTGTTAATGAGCTTTCAAATTCAGGAGACATATCATCTATAATAAATACAGTTAATAGTTTTTTTGTTCTAGAAAACAAATTAACTTTGTATGATGAAAAGGTTCTGGAAAAAGCAACCAAACAATTTTTGGATTTAAAAGTCAATAAAGCATTAGAGCTTCAGGAGAAAATAACCAATGAATTTTGGCATTCTTCAAAGAGTAAAGAATCACTAATAAAAGTAATCAATAATGTTTTGAAGGAAAATCCAATAATCATAGAGGATGAGGATATAAAATCTTTGGAAATAGAAGCAAATAAATATTTGAATTTAAATGATAAAAGCATTTTTGAAAGTGCGGTAAATAAATTTCTAGCTTCTAAAGCCAAGAAAAATTTGGAAATAACTGTTAATAAAATAGTGACTTCAAAATGTAAAAAGGTACTATTGATATTGGGTGTGGGAGGTACGGGTAAATCGACTTTTGGCCACCATCTTGCTCGCTGCCTATGGGAAGAATATGACAAGTTAAACACATTGCAATCACCTATTCCTTTATTTATACCATTAGCACGACTAAAAGAAGGAATGTTTAATAGTGATGCAGATTTTATTGAACTTTATTTAAAAGAAAAATGCAAATTACCTCCAGAAAAAATTAATGCTTTACGAGAAAGAAAGTTTATATTTATTTTAGATGGTTATGATGAGATTGTTGAACGTGAACGTCATTGCTACATTGAAAATAAATTTTGTGAATGGAAAAATGCAAAAATTATTATTAGCTGTCGACCAGAGTATTTGGGCTCAGGTTACCAAAAAAGATTCTTTCCCAAAAATGGTGAAAAGGGGTTTCAGGAATTGACAATCAAAGCATTTTCGGAAAAAGAAGTAAAACAATATATTATAAATTATATTCAAAAAAAAGGCCATATACTAAATTTAAGTGAAGACATATGTTTACAGCAAATAAAAAAGATACCAGAAGAGTTAGTTAGCAATCCAATTCTGTTAAAAATTACTTTGAGTGTTTTACCACGCTTTATAGAACAAGAGAAAACAACCCAAATAAGTTATATAGATTTATATGATGAATTTTTAAAAACATGGTTTGACCTCGCACAAGTTCG